ATACTAACAAGATCAAGAGTCCAAAAATGTAAGATAGCAGCCACATACAAAGTATCAGAGAAACCAAATCACTGTACATGTTTAAGAGCATCTTAAAACCCTTTTTTTTCTAGATCTTATATTTTGCGTTTTTTGTGTGTTTTTTGTTCTTCTCTTAGATTCCTCTTTTCTGTTCTGCCTTCAGTAAAGCACTTTAAAGTGCACTTACTTATATTTCAGGGTTTTGAGTCTGAGTTATCTCTTCTGTTGGTTATTTGTTGCTCTAAAATTAAAATGTTGTCCACTGTTCTACTTTTTCAAATTCAGAGTGTGAGCTGAATGGCTTAAGTATAAAACTAAAGACTTCCGCCTCTTCATCCCACTGTCCCTCTAAACTTGCACATCAACAATAAAAGTATGAAATTGTCCAACATATCGGTTGATGGATCCTCTGATCTGAAAGCAGAGTTAAACAACAGCAATACATTCCCATCAATCCATAATGCCAGCACTGCACTGTGCAGTATTCCACCAGAGTCATCAAACATAAACACACACACACACACACGCAATGATAAATGAAATCTTTATTGGATATGTTGATAATTGTAACTATTGAGTCCTTTTTATTAAAAAAAGTTGCTGTTGTTTAGAGAAATACATAGTTATAACATATTTAATCATGTCAGAGCAGAGTCAGTTTTAAATTTGATTATATAGAGACATTATTAGAAACACAGTTTTCATTTTTCCAAGTGGAACCTTAAACCAAATGCTGTGTGCCTAAACATAACCATAAAAAACATTAATACTTAAGTACACTTGGTACAAATGAATAAGATGAATTAAAAATGTAAATACTCAGGTGACATTACATTTCTTTTCAAACATATATTTTAAATCAGTAATTTATAAATGTCATATCTAGGAGACAGGGTTGCAACTGTTAACTGAGCCAAGGCTGACATGTATGTACACTGTCATGTAACACTACATTGGAATTAGTTTCATTTCTTATATGTATGTGACTCTGTGACATCTAGTTTGAGTTTTAGACCAAATGTGAAGGAATGGAGGATGTTTTGTTTGGTATTTACAATGGATTAGTTCTCTGCTAAAGTAAATGGTCTGTACTTGATTAGCACATTTTTGTCTTTCCAACCACTCAGAAATACACATTGATTCACACACTGATGCCATCTGGAGAAATTTGGGGTTCAGCATCTTGCCCAAGGATACTTCAACATGCAGACTGGGGGCGCTGGGGATTGAACCACTGACCTTCTGATGAGAGCAGCTCTACCCCCTGACTACAGCCGCCACCAGGGATCCATTAGGTTAACAAGACACATGATTCTCTTAGTACTCTCTCAGTAATTTGAAAGAGTTGGAGAGGTTGACTGGCAGTAGTTGGTTCTGTAAAACAAGTCAAGTTAAATTGTGCTTAAAAGGATAATTCAGGTTTATTACAACTTGGACTCGTTTTTTTATAACACAGTCAATAGCTGATATCTGAAAACACTCAACATCACTACAATGTCTGATGGCAGCCAGTCAATCAGACAGGTTAGCAACAAGGCAAGAGTTTATCCAAATCCCCAAACCACTTCATTTTTATTTGGAGGTCAAACTGAAAGTGAGCCAAATAATCCCTCAGTGTACAGGAAACCGTTGGCCTTCCAAATAAGCTATTCTAACCTGAAGGTTTGTTTACAACCTGTCTGATGATCTGACTGCTCATGTTTCTTTTTCCTATCAGACTTATTGTAGTGATGGAACTGTGCTCCCGCATCTTTATTAATATTATTGATAAGAAAAACTACACAAAACTACAAAATAAGACCCATGTTGTGACTCTTCTGGTGTCCAACACACACACTTGCATTAGCATTAATGGCCTTCCACAAAGTATTTTATTTTTCTATACAGCAGCTGGAGCTGTAGCAGTTTTCATCTAGCTGTACATTTGGAGAGTTCGTATGCACAGCACGTACCTGGTGGCAGCGTCACAGAGAAGGCATCCTGTCAAGCAAACATGACAGGCCATGACAGTCACTGCTGGGGCTGATGAATAGTTTATTACCTACCTGCTGTCAAACATCAAATATCCATCTGCTCTTTCACCCACAACCAACTTCAATTCATTTAAACAAGCTGGGTGTTTTTATGTATCTTAATAATTCAGGCTACATGTTTGTTCTTTCATTATTCAAATTGTATCTTCCCTCTCCATCTCCTGTCTCTGATGGATGTTAACTTAATTCTACATTTGTCTGAAAGGTTTTCGGTTTTGACTATTTTTTTTTCCATTTACATATTTAAACATGTGATTCAGGTGATCAATTCCTGCTGCACCAGTTACTCACAGAGTGTGATAGCAGATTTTAAGTTTGGTCCCAGTCAAACAGTTTGATCAAATTTGGATTGCCTTTTAGATACCGGGCTCCAAAAAATATTCATGTTCCACTCCACCTGTAATGTTAAAACATTTTAGAAATCTATAGGTTACAACACAGACGTTGCTTCCATGTTATCTACATTCGTGTGGTTCTTATACTGGATGAAGTTCATAAATATGAATAAAAACATTCAAAAAGACACACATGTTTTGTTTGGAACCTTTTGTGAGTGTGAACCATAGATGTGAACGCTGTCCCCGTTTATATTGTGATGCTGTGCTTCCATCTTCTGGAGGACAGGAGAACAACACCTTCAAATTCGCTTTTGCCCAGTTTGGGTTTGTGATACAGGAATAAAGCTATTCAATATTTCAAGTATGTCTTAAAACAATAGTCAGGTGCCCATATGCACATTTAAACAGTTTCTGCTTGCTCCTGTTCATACTGGTCATTTAAAGACCTCCATAAGATGGTTCCCATGTGAGTGATGGGGGGAAAATCCAAAAATAAATACCACGTTTACCTGGCTGAAGTTAATATGAGGCTGCCTCTGTCAAAATTATACAAATTAAGGGAATATCTGCAGAATATCCTTTTTAGTATAAAATCCCTTATTTGTGTTAAATGCCCTCCACCTCAGCTCAGCAGGGGGAAACACACCCTTAAAAAAAAAAGAATACTTAGAGCAGGAAGAGCATTACAATTAATTGCATTTCATCTCTGTAAATAAAATAAAGCAAAACAACTCAAAACATGACCAGACATGGACAGTCTTCACACCACTAAGGTTTTTGACTGGTAGTTGAATAACATAAGATGTCACCTACAGTTATGGCCAATGTCTCACAATTTTTCTGCCATTTCAAATAATTAAACCATCGAAAACGTAATGGAAAACAAGTAAAATGTTCTATTTGACTTTTTAGTCCTCAACTATGGAGAAAAACAAATGAGAGAACATATTGAGTCTACTGGGAAAAGTGCATGTTGTCATCTCTTCAGTGGTTCAATAAAGTTTTCTCTTTCAAAAGCTATTTTGGGGTCATAGACTGAATGTGCAGAAAGAACTGCCCTTATATCAGTGTTAAACATGAACAAAGAGCCCTAACTGGCAAAACGATGGCTTTAATTAATGGCATTATATAAAAAGGCTTCTGACATAACATCATGAAACTGTTGAGCTACTCTCTGACAGCAAATCCTCAATGTCGGTCCAATGTTATGAAGAGTCATGAAGCAGCCACTGGATGGAGACTTCACCTCACAATCCCATAACATCACTTTCACGTCTGATTCATAGCAAACAAATTGATTCCTTTTTGTAAAAAAAAAAAAAATACAGCAATTTGAGAAAACAGCTGTGAGTCTATTCTATTCATTCATTTCATTTTTTTGTTTGTTTGTTTTTTTGTTTTTGTAATATGTTACAAAACACTGCGAAAATTGTTGTGTAAATCCAGGTTATGTAAAGTTAGCCAGAATCAGCTCGGCTATGTAGTTCCGGTTTATGGGTGAAGGCTACCTTCAAAACAAGAGCACATGACTGACACTGGGACAAAGGGGAAATCCATAACATGAAAAATAAAAACATACCACGCAAACTGTATATCATTCAAGATATTAATTTACCTAACTTGATTTAGTTTAACAGAGTAATAGTAACATTTGTGCCTTAAATTATCACAATTGTAAAAGGAAGGTAAAATTGTGGCTTATAGAAAACACTTTACTTTGAGTGATTGTATTGATCACAGTTTAGGTATTTATCATATTGGTTTGTTGGTAGAGTGACACCTGGACCGAACTCTTATCTATACTGTCTTAGACTTTATATCAAGGACTATGGTGCAAACAAATCTTGGACTTTAGTGTGTTATCATGTTGTTTCTTCAGTATGACTCATTGTCTCATTTTCTATTATTTGGCTCATGTACATTCAATAAATTCTAGATATTTTTAACACATCTAATAACATTTTTAAGAAAATAACAAAGGGTTTTGCAGCTCAAGTGTCTAAATTAATATGTTAAATTCTACACATTTGTCACATTATCAAATACTTTAAGGTTTTACACTATTACAATTATTAGTACCTCTAAACTTAAATGAATTAAATACCAGTGTTGAATTTAAAACTGAACAAGTAAAATTTAGAAACTATTATTCTAATCTGGTGAGCAACTCAGTACAATAGCCTTCACAATAGCCAAATTACTTACTTGCATTATACATGTAAATTTACATTTATTCATTTAGCTGACGCTTTTATCCAAAGCAACTTACAATTGCTATATATGTCAGAGGTTGCACGCCTCTGGAGCATACTAGGGGTTAAGTGTCTTGCTCAAGGACACATTGGAGGATGGGTCACAGTGGGGGATTGAACACCACCAGCAAATAATGCTAAACAAAATAAACGTAGCTTAGTTTCTAAATTTTATAATAAGTGTTGCAATGAGTGTACTTATATTCATTATGTGCACTATTGTTATGGTTTTTCATACAGACTAGATGTGATAGGGATAGTACTTCTGTTGGTTTTACTCTGACAGTTGTGACCGGGTGGTCCCGTGTACAATTCACTTCACACAGGCTTTTTATTTTGAAGGTTGAAACCGGAAGGATTCTGTGTGTGGCTCGACACTGGTCCGGGCAGGCAGCTCCTTTCAGCTGAGAGAACTGCAGAGAAGATGGCGGCGCTACGAGTTGTGGCGTTATCGGGGAGCGGTAGGGCTCTCCTGAGCACGCCGAAAACTATCAAGACCCCGATGGTAGGTCGATAGCTCAAGTAATATATTTACCACTCATGGCAGAGTGTGTTTATAATCAGATCTAACAGTTTAATACAAAAGCGCTGCACCGAGCTACTGTTAGCCTGGCTGCTGTGAGCGGGGTGAGACAAGGTCACTCGTGTTCCCATACATTTTTAGGATGTCGCCAACGACTGTGGCAATAGCTCCTCGGATGTGTGTTCGTTCTTAATATATAGAGGTCGATATGATGTCAATAACTGTTGTAACACACGCAACATATGTCTAAAATCTGGTTAGCCATCGCTATGTGCAGCGAGCTTGCCGGTTAGCTTACTCATGAAACCAACCGGCAGGTGGACAGGTTCAGTAAAATTAAACTTCTTTCTTAGTTAACGGTACAGAGATATGAGTCTACACGCCGGAGTGTGTGAGCGTAGTGTTTGTTATTGTTTCAGTCCGTATATGAGTGACGTTGCGTTCATATTTTTCACAAACACCAGGGGATAAAGTAGGTGAGCTAATCAGCTTGCTAACGAGTTAGCATTTCAAGGACTGTAAGGACTTCCGGTGAAGAAAGCTCTTTTTAGCCCTGTACCCTTCATCTGTTAGCTTACTGTCCTGAGACGTGTATGTGTGTGTGGACCTTTTTATATACAGTCTATGGTGTGGACGCTTAATGGGATTGAGGGAAACAACATGAAGCTATGTAAACTTAATACATGATGTCCTTATGTCATTTTCCAAGTAGCATTGGTTGTGAACTTGTGGCCTGGTTTAGGTACAAATAGAAACTGGTCAGCATTGATTATGTAGACTCCTGTTTGTCTGAGCTTGTTGAGGTTGTTTAAATTTGAACAAAAACTCCATGTACATAGATCACAGCAAATTGTGTCTACTACAGAAAAGTGGCTGATGGTATCGAATTCTTGTAGGGCTTCAATCAACTAAAGATCTTCCTAGTCAACTAGTAGTCGTTACTTCAAGCCATTAGTGGAGTAGTTGTGGCACGTGTATGATGTTAATTTTATTATTTAAATATATGTTTTGGGTGCATCAGAAAATGGTTTGAGGTCGAGGGCTAAGAAGGAATGTTAAAGTAACACTGTGCTACATTACAGAGAAATAGAAACGAGTGTTGAAACATTAAAATATGAATATTACAAGGGGCAGGAAGCGAGCCACCTCTCAATGACAAGCCAGAATGATTCTGAATGTGTCAGAACAGCAAGTCAGGAGACCAAACATTTTCTTAATTTATTTCAATACAGTAGACATCACGCAATTCTTCTTTTAACTTCACTAGAATGTATTCTCGGATTTAACAACACGATGGATGATGTGTAACATTACTTACAAATTAACTCACTCCTCCTCTGCTCGATGGCTCTCCTGTCCCAGCCTGAACCCCCTTTGTCTTCGCCGTCCCCGGAATCAAATTTATGGTCTCAAACCAGATCGTCTGAACTGTCCTCCATCGGTCTTGGAGGCTGTGTTCAGTCTTGGTTCTTGATTACTGGGAGGCTGCTGAGCCCGGTTCCAAACACCAACACCAACACTCCCCTGGTACTTGTAAGCTCCCAGTCCAGGCAGAGACAGCTAATAGGGCCACTAACTGAGCTAATCAGCTAATGGCAGAGCCTACTTTTAGCAGCAGTGCTATGGAAGTAATATATCTTAATTCTTAATGCATCTTTCGTGTTACAAGAAAGGATTTCGAACCATCTTAATTTTGCAACACAGAAAACTCACAATAAGACCTTTATAAGATAGAATAAGATTATAACCTTTAAAAAGAGGTCTGAACATCAGGAGCTTTTTGTTTTCCAACTCTGAAACCAACTATAGGTGCTTTCACACTACCTTATTTTCCGGGATTATTATGCTAATATGCCGGTTCACCGCGCTGGATGACGGGTTTGGAGCTGGAAAGGGGGGTCAGATTTGATCCTCCTCTGAGACAGGAATTTTGGCACTTGGTAGTAACAGAGGCGGAGCGATGTCTGTGAAGATCCATGGAATAGGTGTGACATTTCAATGCTGTTGTGTTACAAGTCAGGATCTTTATTTTTTCACAGTCTAACCAGGAAAGCCGGTTGCGGGATTATGCCGCAATATTTTGTTCAGTATTGCCACTTTCACACTGCCTTATTTTCCCAGATTATTACGCCAATATGCCGGCTCCCTGCGCTGTAAATCCGGTACGGAGCTAGAAAGGGGGTCAGATTTGATCATCCTCTGAGCCTACAATGTTAACAAAGCCGGAACGTTGTCTGTGTGTAAAGCCACAGAACAAGTGTGGCATTTCAACGGTCTAAGCCAGATCGCTACGTGAAGCACACAGAAATGCGGCATATTGGCGGACATTCTTCCTGCGTTTATTGCGGGATCTTTGTGTGACAGCAGTTTCTGTCCACACTAATGCAGAGGAACCAGATGTGCCTTGCACATGAAGAGTGCCACTTAAGGAGATCTCCTTATGTGGCCTTTGTAAGGTTTCCTTGCCTGTGGCTGCTCTGAAGTTGACAGATCACTGCACCCCTGACACTCTGGTTCCTGGGACTGCATAGATTCATCTGAAATCCAATGAAAACAATGGTAATATTTCCATTGTAATTCTAACTGTATGTACAGTATAAGTTGCTGATGGAAATAATCTGAAAGCCAATGTAAGTGGCTTGAGGATGGGGATTAATCAATCTTGCTCTCATATAAACATTTTAAAAAGTGTTCAGGTGGTATACAAATACAGTGGCCCTTCCTGTGTATAAACAGTCTGTGGCATGAAAGACGCATCTGCTTTCCATGGTTTCACTTATGTTTTTTTTTTTTCACCATAAAAATTGGACCAATTACTCCTTTAATGTCTCAGCAAGCCACAGGTAAGTTGCAGCTGGCTCACATTTCACAAATATGGGAAGCTTAGATTGGCTTCCAGATATACTCCAGCTGGTCAAAGAGTTGGGGGGTGTGTGTGTGTGTGTGTGTGTGTGTAATGATATAGGGATGATGTCATGTGACGCCGACTGCCTGGTTACAGAAGCACTAGTGTAGGGCAGTTTCATAAGGACAACCTGCGTGCACACTAAAAGCAAGGGCATTATGATGAACTGCACTTTCTAATAAGAAAAACTGTGTCTGGAGGTAAATTATGACTTGACATGCGAATGTTGTTGGAGCAGCAATTAGAGATTCATGCTTTTCAGTCCTGAACATTACTGTTAAATTGATGGACACAGAGTTAAACATTTTTATAATACTAATAACAATCTTTTAACCTGTCATAAAATAAGCAGGTTGAAGATGTCACATCTTTGAAATCTTATATATACCAACCCAGATTCTAGAGTTTATCAAAGACTACAAGTCTACAAGATTAGGGCTGCTAACCTTTCAGTTATTAGTTTGTTTGTAAGTTTCAGAAAATGGTAAAATTGTGCATCAGTGTCCCAGAATCCAAGGTAATATTTTTAGATTACTGCTTGTTTAGTCCCTCCACTAACCCAGAATGGAAAAAAACAGCAAATACTAACATTTTGGTTGCTAAACAGTGAATTTGTGTCATTTTTGACACAAACAAATCAACTAATAGATTCACCAACTAATGGTTTCAGCCCTAATCTCATTCTTATAACAGAATGTTAATCGGATGTCTTATAATAATCACCTGTACATAGGGCTGGACAATAAAACAATAAGAATAATTTCCGCGATATAATTTTTTTTCAATAACAATATAATAAATATTCAATAAATGTTTGATTTTATTCACTTCATACACGAAATAAGACTTAATTTTTTTTTATTAAGATGTTTATTGGTGTTTGTTGAGGAAAAAGGACTGGAAAAAGCTTGTACTTAATTTTACTCATGCATATTTGTTGACAAAGATTTTATAATTGTTTTGAATTTTCTACCTTAGATTTGTAAAGTGATCCACATCAGGTGTTGCCCATGAAGAAGAGTTTAAACCACAATTAACCTTCAGGTTTCTTCAACTTTCACTCAGGAGCAAAAATCTTCAAACTTGAAAGAAATAACGATTTGATATTTATCGTGATAAATATCGATACGAAAACTTTTTATCGAGAACATTTTTGGCCATGTCGTCCAGCCCTACCTCTACATTATTGCACTGGTATAATTTTAAGAAAGTAACTTACTAGTGTCTTGTTGTGCTCTTGTTCTCTGTAGGCCAACATGTCCTTTGGCAGCCTGCCACGGAGCAAGAAGGTTGCCTTGACAACACTAGGTGTGGTCACAGCTGGTGGGGCGGGGCTCGCTCTGATGCTGCACCAGTCCGTTAAAGCCTCCGACCTGGAGCTTCACCCACCTCAATACCCCTGGAGCCACTCCGGACCTCTGTCTTCTTTAGACCACGCTAGGTGTGTGCACACACGCATTCTCCAGAGTCTGCAGTTATAATCACTGTGAGGAAATGAAAGTTAAACTAGTACTTCAAATGACAGAAGAAATTATTTCACTATTTTGTGACATTTAAAACTATGAAATTAGCTTGTATAGCCTTTCATTAACCTGATGGGCTGACAAGTTAGTTGCACAAAGGAAAAGATTTTACCCAAACAGACAAAAACAGCGCTCTCTTTTCATTTCACCTACATCAGAGTTTTCACTTCTGGAGTTGATGTTATACACATACCTGTCAATGTTTTGACAAAATTCCACTGATCTACAATGTGCTAGCAAAGGCAGGGAAGAAGAAGACTGCCAGCAGAGAAACATTGCTGGGTTTAGCATACGTAAAACCTTAGCATAGCTAATGCAAGGAAATTTGTTGGAGCTCAAGGATATACACAGAGCAGTTTGGTGAGTAACACTGATTGTAAACATAACTTTTGTTTACAAGAAAGCTCCACTGGGCACCTTTTTAAAGTAGTGCGTTATCTTTGCAAGTGTTTTACTGGACATTTTTCACCCTAAGTGTCTCTCCATGCTTTCTTTATCTCTCACTTTCTCCGCCCATGCAGTATTCGTCGTGGTTACCAGGTATATAAGCAGGTGTGTTCAGCCTGCCACAGTATGGAGTACCTGGCATTCAGAAACCTGGTGGGAGTGTCGCACACAGAGGCAGAGGTTAAGACCATTGCTGAAGAGGTAATGATGTGTCTGTGTGAGCATAGGTGTGATAAGGAGTTAGTCAAATTGAGCATATAACACTGGTTTTGTATCTTACTTTATAAATATTTTAAAAGACAGTCATAGGTTTAATTTATTTTTAGAATCAAACTGTTCTACCAACAGGTGATGACACCCGGCTGTATCTGGTGTTTATATTTTTAGGTTTTTGGCCATATTTTAAAGGTGTCTTGTGTGTTGTGTTCAGATTGAAGTAGTGGATGGTCCCGATGAGAGTGGAGAGATGTTCACCCGGCCAGGAAAGCTGTCGGACTACTTCCCAAAGCCTTATCCCAACCCTGAGGCAGCTCGTGCTGCCAACAACGGGGCCCTGCCTCCAGATCTCAGCTACATTGTCAATGCAAGGTAAATCCCGAATAACCTAAAACATATACAGTCTTCAAAGTCATGAAATTTGCATATTCTTGGTGTTCACTTGTTGTGTCCGCTTGCTTTCTTCAGACATGGAGGAGAGGACTACGTGTTCAGCCTGCTGACAGGATACTGTGAACCTCCAGCAGGAGTGTCGGTGAGAGAGGGACTGTACTACAACCCATACTTCCCTGGCCAGGCTATAGGCATGGCTCCGCCCATCTACAACGAGGTGCTGGAGTATGACGACGGTACGTAAAATGCAAAAAACAAAATCTGGACAGTTTAGTTTCTAGTTTGCCAAGATAGGCTGATCTTGTGATTGTAACGATAGTAGCAGGAGAGTTGTGAATATCGCTGTCTTGAGCTGGTGTGCTGGTTCTGAGACCATCTCGTACTCCTCTGCATGTTAGCTTCACAGCAGCAGCAACTGTAGCAACAGAATGCAAACCCTTAACTTAGCTAATGTTAGTCACATTTCTTGATGTGTCGATGTTCCCTTTATATCATTGTATTTGTCATGGTGTTGGATTTCTCCACCATCGCATACCCGACCGTTAAATGTTTAATATGGTGTTGATTAGCCAAAAACAGACTTATATAAACTTAGTTAATTAATATCAAATGCTAATTGTTTGTAAAAAATACTGTGATAGAAGATTTAACCATATTACCCCCACACACTGTGTCCAGGAGAGTGCATTACAGTTTGCTGTAGTAAAAATCGTTGTGCTGATAGTTGTTGTATCTTTTGCCATAGGAACCCCTGCCACCATGAGCCAGGTTGCTAAAGACGTGTGTACTTTCTTGAGGTGGGCTGCCGAGCCGGAGCACGACCAACGTAAACGCATGGGATTGAAGGTTTGTTTCTCTACAAAACCCCTTTTTCATTTGAAAAGAAGCCAGTGTTTTCAGATGTTTAATGACAACACAATTAACCATGCAAGAAATATGCCCAAATTTAATATTGTCTAAAATGATTGAAATCAGTAAATATATTAAGAAATAAATTAAAAAATTTCATGTCTGATCAGACATTTCATGCAAAAGAACAAGATGACTGATGTAGGCCTACTGAACATATTACTGAGAAACAAAAAAAAACGTTCTGAAAAACTGATTTCAGCGAACTGCTTGTGATTAAGTTACCATGTTTGGAATGCATTGGATTATCATTATCAGAGCATATAAACAACACAAGGTAATTTTACCTTGATCATCATAAAACGCATCATTCTAACTCAACAGAAACAACCTAAAACTCTGCAAAACCATCTTTGTTTCACTGTTCCATCAATCACCAACTGTGGTTTGGTCAAAATAAACCCTTAATTCACCACATTTAATATGTGAAAATATTCTTGCTCTACACTGTTTCCCTGCTGCCTCTCTGCCGTTTCTCAGCGTCTTGGTGCAACTGGGTTAGCTCGCTGAATGAGTCTGTCGCTCTGATTGGCTAAATAAAATGACATCTCTCCCCAAAAAGCCAACAGGTGACCCGGTTCATGTCACTGTCTCCACCTTTGCGTCTCTGCTCTGCTAAGTTACACCAAAATGTTAAAGTACAGATTTAAAAAATGGTTATGTCTGAGCTTATCAATACTTTAGTCCTGTGGTCTTTTTAATGCCAGGTTTCAGTACACATCCCTACTTGCCTGATCATACAATTGCATGAGGCATTCCACTTGCCCAAACACAGAGGTTACTTGCCTCAGGCAGATGTCAATGTCGAGCCCTTCATACACAATGGAGCAAGTGGAAACGGGGTGTAAACATGGAGCTTGTTGTGACATTAATTCTCTTCTTCCTCTCTTTCCAGTTGCTGATGGGCTCGGCCATTATCGTCCCTCTGCTCTACTACATGAAGAGACACAGGTGGTCTGTATTGAAGAGCAGGAAGATCGCCTACAGGCCTCCCAAGTAAATGGAAACAAACACACCCCTACCTGGGCTTAAACCTACCAGAGAGGGCTGCGTTCAATGACCCCACAACGCTCACCTCCCAATGATCATGTGGACACAGAACAACTGACTAACACACACACGTCTTTCTAAGAGGGGGTGGAAAAATAAGAGTATAAATACTATGTTTATTCCTACAGAAAAATGCCTTTTTTTTAAGTTGTTGGCGTGGTAGAACTAATTGTGACAAATTTTCCGACACCTGGAATATTGTGGTGCGAGAGTTGTGGCGTTGTTGAACGCGCTTTCCACAAAGTTTTTTTTTTTTTCTTTTTTCTGCATCAAGTCATTGCTGATAGCAGTTCCCGTCTTGACATCTTGTATCAGACACTTTGTCACAATTGACTGATAAGTTGATTGATTGTCCATCTTTATAAGATACTCATAAACAACAGGAGTGCTGAGAAATGGTTGCCCTCAAAGTTTGTAACATCTTGGGTGTTTGTTAATCCATCCTCCCCTGTCTTCTCCACACAGCCACTCAGTGGATCAAATGCAGCCTCTGAACCTCTGTTTTACTGTACAAAATAAATTATCTTAAAGGAAACTATTCTGTGTGGCAGTTTATTTTGTTTGAAGCAGAAGTAAACGACAACTTTTGTAATGCTGCTTATGTCTGACTTGTAGAATCTGCAACTACACTTTGTTTTGTAAATATTCAATAAAGAGGTGAGTGAACAAACTTTCTTATGAGGCTTTAGTTTGTGGACCTCCAGAGGGGAACATCACAAATGTTTTTGTTTATGTTTATTTGACAGGGGCAAACACAATCTATGTACAGTACCAGATATAGCTAAAAGTTTATTCCCATCTGCAGTCCCTGAGGCAATATATTACAATGAAAAAAATTAAATAAATCCCAACACATTTAATAAAAAGCCGACCAAATCAAACCACATATAACAAGCTTAAAAACTGATCCAAACATACCAAACCTCCTAAAACAATAACTTACCATATAAAACACAACATCACAATCCCAATGCAGAAATACACAAACCATGCAGGAATGAGAGGTCTTCAGCTCTCAGCTCCTCCTCTGTGGCTCTGATTGTGTCTGAAAGAGCTGCTATCTCTCTGCTAAGAGACTCAGTCTTTACCTTCATCACCCAACTCTTCTGCTGCTCTTCCTCCCTCACAGCAGTGATCCTGGCTTTCTTTCTCTCGTAGAAACTGGCGAAGCTTCTTAAACTGCTCCTTTATCTGACTCTGTGTGTCGGGCCTGGACCTTAATGTGTTCTGCTGTTTGATCACAGTTTCCTTTAACTTGATCAAAGAGCTTCAGTTCCTCCTGTAAGGGTTTCAGGGATTTCTGGAGCTCCTCTCTGTGATCGTGTGCAGCTTCATAAATGGATCTGAATTTGAATCCAGTGTGTGTTTCTGAATGTAGACAGGCAAGAACACTGGCTGCTGAACCTCAGACACTGCTAAACTACTCCTCCTTTAGTACGATGGTCTCACACAGCTTCTGCATTTGCAAACTGGACACTCCTGTATTTCACTCTTTTCAGATGTGTGACCTCATCTCCCCTGAGCCAAGCCACCCTACAACAGAAACTCATTTTGTAACCATGATCCTACTCTTTTGATTATATATTGCTACCTCTTCACCATGCACCAATTCACATTCCATCTTGTCCTCAAACGTTAATAAAACCCACAGGTACTTGAGCTCTGCAATTCAGACAGCGACCCAAAGTTTAGTATCCACACAGATTATCTATTCCAGAACAGGTTGCACTGCAGTTTATCAATATCAATGAAATTACATTTTATGAATGTATTTCTTACTACTTTGGCTTTATATGTATTTTAGTTTTTATAAATATATATGTTGATAGGGATGCAGTCACTCATCTGGTGTATTTTAAGAAATGGATGGGTTAAGAATAGACTCAACATGTTAATGAGTGAGCTTTACAGGTTTTGGTTGATATATTTTTGAACTCTGGAGAAAGCCAAGTTATCTGTTTTCACCTACTTCTACTTTTTACGCTAAGCTAAGCTAAACCAATCACCACCTTGCCACAACTTTGGACTTAACACACAGACATAAGATTGAAATATATACTGTACATAATATTCATTTTCCCATGTCACTCTCGGAAAGAAAGTGATTAAGTCTATTTCCTAAAATGTTTACATATTCCTTCAACTGCACCAATCACACTGCTGCTGAGTTGAACTGGCCTTCCTTTCTGCCTGTAGTCATCACGTCCTTACATCCATCCTGCCTTTCACTGAGGGATAAATAAACAAGTGTGCTGTTAGTTTAAAGCTGCTTCAGGCCTTCATTAGGAGCTAATCTGGTCCTGAAAAGGTTTTCCTCCCTGCTGCTCCAACCTGCATTCAGACACTACGAGCTTCATCTGCATCACAACACACACAGATTAGGCTAATAGCATTACTGGATCACTATTATTGCCATCATTATCATTATTATTATTATTATTATTAGATTAAACTCAGTCTCAAATGTGTAACAGAGGGACAGCATTTATTACTGTGAAAACTAAACAGATGTTCTACTTTGGTAATTCAGAAGAAAAGGGTGCAATTATGCTTTGTGTTTGTGTGACACTGGTGACAGTTTTTAAAAAGGCTCCTCATCCTAATCTCACACATTCAGTCATCAGTATATCGCATGAGGGAACACTCAGATACACACACACACATTTGCACATGCTCACACACAAACTGCAAAGTTAGCAAATGCTCTCTTTTTGCAGAGTTGTAGCATTTGTCGTGAAACAAGTAAACTAAAAATGTAAATATATGCTGTCCCTCAGTAGAACACACACACACACAGCAGAGATTAGCTGTTGTATGGAACCACGGGGACTCTCATTCACATGGAAAACCACTTCTTAATTCTAATTGGTGGCCAGTGTAAATCCTCCACTCCCATTTAAACCAGCAGTCAGCTGTTTGTATTCCTGCTGCTTCACATGTACCTCAGACTTAACCATCCATTCACGTTGATTTTAGACCACAGGTCCACAGTATAGAAGCTGTAGTAGCATCAAGATTTGTCTTCAAAGAAAATCGACTAATGGAACTGTTTTTTTTTGGAGTGAAATCAGAATAACTTTGTTTTGGTTGTTGTCGGTAATTTTGTTGGCACGCCCGGGGATTTCTGCTGTCAAGCTGTTTATTGATCAGTTAGTCAGATTAATCATTATGGCTTCCATGATGGCTCCTGTGACAGGAGAAAACAGGCCGGCGTTTTCCATCGAGCGGATTCTGGGTGTGGAGCTGAAAAGACCTGGAAACTGCCTGAAACTCCACCGACCCTGGGCAGGTAAGGAGCAAAATGTGTGAATTTTAAGCCTTTTCTTTACAAATTAAGTGAAGAGTCTGTTTCTTATTGATAAAGCACCAACTGTCAGTTTAAAATAAAAATTAGACATCAGTTGAAGTTTAGCAAAATTGTTATTGTAAACATCATGTAGTTTGATATTAATGTTTATATAACAGAGCCCCAGAATATCCTGATTAAATGTATAAAAAATATTTTCAGAGTAAAAGTAATAAGATGTTGAAGTTTGTGGCTCATTTGTGTAATTATATAATTTCTGAGCCAAGTATTTCTATTGATATTGATATTAGCTGCAACATTTACATTAAGAAGTTAACAAGTAAATTGCCTAAAAATATTTCAATTAGCATTTTTATTTTGGACAAATAATAACCAATTCCAGCCATTTTTTCCAGCTGTTAATATTAATAACCATAGTATGCAAACAAACACTCAAACTCTTACTTGTTCTTTTCAAAAAATTTTTAATGATTGATAAGGAAAAAAGCTAAACAAAAATAGGTAACCATAATAGGTAATTTTCCATACAAATAGTTTTTCTTTTTCTTATTAAACTGATCACTGTTAAGTTAACCATCAATGTTAATATTATTCCATTTAAATATATTACATGTTATGAAATAGAGGCCTATTAATATGTGTAAAATCTTTTGTTTGGTCCAAAGGTCCTGCATTTGGTTTAATGCTCTGAGAACAAATTGATTATTTGTCATGTTTTAATTATGAAAGGTTTATAATATGTGATCTTCTTCTATTATGTTTGTCATCCAGAGATTGAAGCAGAGAAGGAGAACAGAGGAAAAAGTATGTTCTCTCAACAACAACAACAACAACAACATCCTCATCATCCTCAGCAGCTGAACTCTCCCAGGCCGACATCAAGTTGGTATATTGGACGCAGACCACGAACTGCCTTCACTAACAGCCAGGTAATCACTGAATCTGTCAATTCGTCATTCAGACAAATAGACCTGAAGAAAGGACTCTCTGTCATAAAGTTGAGGACATCCAGCATAAAGGTACAACACTGAAAGCAAATACAGGTTTGTCTTTAGTCTGTTAATGTCTTTGTGTGTTTGTGTTTGTGTTTGTGTGTGTGTCCTGCAGGTGAATGTGCTAGAGACAGTGTTTCGGGTGAACTGCTATCCAGGTATCCAGCTGAGGGAGCATCTGGCAGGGAGACTCAACCTGGACGAGGACCGCATACAGGTTCAGACAGAACACACAGAGAATTTAATGAATTTAATATAGCTCTTCTGCTTCTGCTGCTGTTACTACTTTTAACTTCTTCATAACCCACTGGGTGGGTGTCTGTCTAAACTCAGTGACCCTAATTTTAAATTTCAACTTTCCAAAGATGAATATGTCGTGCTGATTTTAGGAGAAATGTGTGTAAAGTCATTCACAAGACATGCAGAATATTTCCAGCCATAAAACTACATATTCCACCAGGACATATGTTTAGTGTTTGTAGTCCCATTTCACTCACTCATGTCGTCTAATGATGCCTTTAAAGAAGAACTCCACCGATTTTACACCTCAAGGTCTGTTTACAGGTCTACTGCCACTAACAGGTCGATAAAGGGTGTGTGTGCAGCACCCTACCAGCCACAAAGCTTAGTCAGCAAGCTTAATAAATTATTTATAGATAATATTTATATATACCTATATAGTTTTAACTTTTTAAGTATTTTAATATTACTTACTTCTTGATTTTACTTCTATCTAATACATGTAAGTAGGTCTAAAAAAGGAGCAGAAGACAGTAGCCTCGTATGAAAGCATGTTGTACGTAATGACAAGTAGCTATTATACTGTTAGCTCTGCCACCTTAATTTTCCTCTCTCTCTCTCTCTCTCTCTCTCAGATCTGGTTTCAGAACCGGCGGGCCAAGCTGAGGCGTTCCCTCAGAGAAACCCGTCTTCAGCTGGTTCAGACAGCCGTGGCTGATCTTGGGGTCAGACATGAGGTCATAGGTCAACTGAAGCAGGATGCCGCCCAGCAGCTCGCCTCTCATCTCCAGCTGGAGGTGGAGGAAGGGGAGGAGTGATTCTGATGACCTCGTCCTGTTTCTGATGTCAGGACTGGCTGTTTACATGAACATTGATTCATCAGCTTCTGACAGCTTCTGTATTTCTTCTTCCTTCCACATATCATGAAAAAACACAACTGTGGACAACAAATTGTGACAAATAAAAGTCACAGTTTGCTTACAAACCACTAGTAACACAGTGTTTATTGGCGCATCAATGTTTTTTGGATATTTGACATCTGTGCTTTTTGGTTATCAGGATTTAATGCTTACACGAGGTAACACAAAACAGGTTCCTCTATCCAGCATACTGAGGAAGTATGTCTTGCAAGTTGTGAGATTCGCTTTGGATAAGTTTGTTAAACGCTCTGTAATGTTCAAGTGTCTTATTATGTGAATAGGTTTCTGTTTTCTGAACTGTACAAAGTCTAATTAAAGCTAATTAAAGTATTTGAATCTTCTGTCTGTTCCTTGGATGACTTCACCACAAACCCCGCAGTAGACAAAGTATTCACATCCTTTTCTGAAGTAAAAGTAATTCTACACTTTACTCTGTTGTAAAGTAAAAGTACTGCTCTGAAAATGTTTCTTAAGTAAATGTATGTTAAGTATCAGGAATATGCACTTAAAGTGTTAAAAGTAAAAGTACTCAATGCAGAAAAATGTACCTGTGACTGTAGGGACTTTCCAGTATATTATATCATGAGATTATTATTGTTCATACATTCATGTAAAAGCATCTTTTACTGCTGTAGCTTATTTTGAACTATTTTGTAACAGACTTCAACTAATAATTATTGTCATTATTATATAATCTGCTGATTATTTTTGCCATTGATCGATTGACTGTTCGTGAAAGTTCTGAAAATAGTGAGAAATGCCGTCGCATTTACCCAGAGCTTCATAATGTTTGTTTTGTCCAACCAACAGTCCAAACCTCAACACTAACACCACATTCAGATAATTCAAATAAATTAAAAGTAAAAGCAGCAAATCTTCACATTTGTGAAGCTGGAACCATAAAATATTTTGCATGAAAAATGACTTAACAATCAAAATTGCCAAATAACTTTTTGTCAACCACTTGTTCATTTCAGCTGTACTTGCATAAACTGTTGGGTAGTTCATCTGCATCACAACACACGCAGATTAGGCTAATAGCATTACTGGATCACTATTATTGCCATCATTATCATTATTATTATTATTATTATTAGATTAAACTCAGTCTCAAATGTGTAACAGAGGGACAGTATTTATTACTGTGAAAACTAAACAGATGTTCTACTTTGGTAATTCAGAAGAAAAGGGTGCAATTATGCTTTGTGTTTGTGTGACACAGGCTGATACACATTCAGTATCAGTACTCTTCATAGATTTTGTAAAGTTTGTAAAGTAACTACTAAAGCTGTTAGATAAATGTAGTGAAGTAACAAGTACAATATCTCCCTTTGAGAAGTACCTCAAACTTGTACTGAAGGACAATACTTGAGTAAATCTAATCATTGTTATATACACAGGTTATTACTGGTCAGTGAGAAAATAAGCAAAGTATTCACCCAAACTTTGAATAGTTTCAGACAATCAGCACTCATCTTAAGTCATCATTTTGATTTTCATTTATTTATAAAACTGAACATTAATAAACACGTGCAGGTGAACTTAAAAATATACCGTGTTAATGTGAAACTGTGTGTTATTTTTACTTTGTCAAAAAAAAAAGAAGAAGAAAACAAAATTACGCGGCCGACGCTGATTGGTCCAGCCGTGCCTCGTGTGTGTCCCGGAAGTGAAAGCCGAGGACTAATGTAAGTCTGGAGTGTAGGAATCTGTCGGTAACATTTGTGTTCAGCGGTGGTGTTTTCTGGTGTAGAAAATGGACACGTTAAATAAACTGAAGCAGTTTGACGCTTATCCCAAAACTCTGGAGGATTTCCGAGTGAAGACGTGGGGAGGAGCGACCGGTGAGAGGCTTTAATTAGTCAGAGAGCAGCAGCCATTCAGACACACAGGTTGTTAGCTGCTGCGGCTAACAACAAGGCTAACTGAACAATTTCTCCTTTAAATCATTAAAATATAGAAAACACATCAAGTTACAGTCTTAACGTTATCCATATACCTCTAAGGAAACCCCAACAGCAGCAGAATAGACACCGTTAATATTTACAATTCAATAGTTAACAGCAAAACGGCGAGGCTAGTGATGAAAATTCACAAATATACATAAACAAGAGATGTTTTTTCAAAGAAATGTATGTGCTGTCATTTAATTTTGAGGTGATTTTGCAGCATGTTTTCTGTACCAGTTGTTTTTCGACATTAGAAAAGCTGTATCAAATATATACATTACACTACATTAACGTTAGACTGTCTGAATTGTGCAAGTTGGCAACTCTGGAAGCCATAACTATAACTAACTATATAAATATAGTATAGGTATATTATATAGTAGAGCTGCAGCTATTAATCTATTAGTTGTCAACTACTGAATTAATCACGAACTATTTTGATAATCGAGTAATTGCTTTTTTAAAGAAAGAAATGTCCAAATTCTCTGGTTCAAGCTTCTCAAATGCAAAACATGTTCTGTTTTTTTTCCTCCCGTATGACAGTAAACTTAATATATATTTGGGTTGTGGACAAAACAGAACATTTGAGGACGCCACCTTGGGCTTTGGGAAACACTGATGGACATTTTTCCATCATTTTTATAGACCAAACAACTAATCGATTAATCGTGAAAATTATCAACAGATTAATTGATAATGAAAATAATCGTTATTTGCAACCCTAATATATAATATATTAATAATAAAGACAATATACATAATAATAATGAATACATTGTTATGAATGGTATGTGCAGTATATGCAATATACACACTATACAGTAGAAAATACAATGATCTTAAATATATAATAGAAATGGAAGAGAATACTGTGATATAGTACAATGATAAAAACACAGTAATTACAAAATATAGCTGGAATATAGTGTTTTTAAATAGTGACACAAGAAATATAATGCTATGACAATAGTGTTAGAAATGTTACTAACATAGTATTTTAAGCTATCATGCTGTTGAAACTTGCTTGTTGTGTAGTGCATCACAGTGAACATGACCTGTTTTATGTACATGAGTAATTGAGTTAGCCTGTTGATGATTTGACTAGAGCTTAAAGGCTTAATCGTTTAGTCGATCAGTGTCGTTTCAGTCATTCATTTTTGCAAAGATGCCAAACTGTTGCTGGCTGTTTTTATAAATTGTATAGACAAAGCTATCAATCGATAATGAAATAACTGTTAGTTGCAGCCCTGGATTTGATACAAGCCTGCCTAAAGACGGATTTGGTTGTCAGTTAATTTACAGGAAGAGTGACAACTTGATCTTATGTTTGTCTCATTAGTATGTAACCTTCAGGAAGCCTTTCACTTGGTGCTCAAATGATTATTCAAACAGTTGATCAAAATAAAACTAATCTACACACATCTTTTTTGCAATTTATTTCCAGCTTCTCAAATGTATAGATTTGCTGCTTTTCCTTTTTGAATTGTTGATTTTGTTTATGTGTCCATCCTTTACTGTTGAACATCATAGAACAGTGGGTTTTGGGTGGGCAGGAGTCATTTTCAACATTAACACTCCGTCCTGAATGAATTAGTATCTTAATTAAGTTTGCTGACGGTATGATCCTTGCCCAATAATATTATGAGAAGTCACTCACATGATAGTGTCTTTAACAAGGTGAAAAAATTAATCTATTGCATCTCTGAAAATGTTTCTTGCATTTGATTATAAAACAAAAACAACACTAGAAGAGGATTTCTAACATACACACTTCCTCTGTGTCTCTGCAGTCACCATCATCAGCGGTGTCATCATGTTAATTCTGTTCGTCTCTGAGCTGCAATACTATCTCACTAAAGAGGTGAGTTCATTCACATCACCTGATTATGGTTCTCACCCTGGGGGCTGCGAGACAATTTCATGGTTACAAGCAGCATAGAAGGAGGAACAGCTCTCAGTGATTTTAACCCTTTAATGACATTCATCACAGGGGACAAGAAGTCAAAAACACACTACATACTCTGTTATTATACATGTTAACAGGCCCAGTCACCTTAGTAATGTATTTTTATCTGTTATTCTTTAAGGCCTAAAGCAGACATGTTGAATGTTTCTTCAGATTATTCTGTGGGGGTCACGACTCTGAAAGGTTGAAATTCCCTGCTCTGGTGGGCAGAAGGCTCCAGGTGGTCACTCCACTGTAGCCTTTCCAGGCGGGCCAGCCCAAATTTCATACAGCCTCATTTACTGATTATACAATACGATGTTTTGTCCACTAGCTACTAAACTTGAAAAGTCTTTAAAAGCATTGACTTCAGTTCCCTCAAATAAGGCGTTAGAAGGTAATAAATTAAAGAGGCCCTGAATATTTTTTTCTTGCCTTCTGTAGATAGTTCAGTACTTTAGTAACCTGTAGCAAACACTGTCACTATGGCTAGCCACAGTAGCATATTATTTTTTTTATTGATTACTCCATCAGTTTTCTGACACTTACCTGGGTTCAGGTTGCGATAATTATATTCCCAGGAATTATTTGTAAAATTACAGACAAAAATGTAAGATAAATGTCAATAAATTAATTTACTTAATGAATAATTGTAAGCCATATGCCCTTATTGAATTGCGTTTGTGGCAATAAAAAGGTCTTAAATTTATTAAACTTAGTGAACACTGCAGAAACCCTGTACCACTTACCTGTTTGAACAGACCAAACAATCTTAACAATGTCTACTTACCAGCTCGTTCCCAAGCTTTAGACCATATCACCTTTCATTAGCAGAAGGAGTTTGCGCAGTTGTCACGGATCACTTTTAAGACTCCTCATCAAGGTCAACTTACAGGCCAACATAGACAAGAAGTCCCAAGTGTGTTTGTATTTTCAGTCGATCAAAGTCACAGATTGGTGAACTATCCAAAATGAATTAATTATGAAAATAATAAAGACTGCCTTGGGTTAACATTAAGCAGCATCCTGTGCGTATCCTGTCAGTCCGGTCTGATTAGTTCGACTATACAAACAGTGAAACTTCTATATGCTGAAGGCTCAGAGTTATAACTGTTAATCACAACTGTAACACTAGTTTTCACCATTGTGTTTCTCATAGTTGTTAATCATGATAACTGTATGTATAATGTACATGTTTTTAGTCACCTTTAAAGTTACAAGATAATGCACCTCGTCCTGTTTCCCTAAATAGTTTCAGTTAAATGTCTTCAGTGTTTGTGTTTTGGCGTGCTGTTCGCTGCAGGTTCACCCTGAGCTGTACGTCGACACGTCGCGGGGAGACAAACTGAAAATCAACATCGACGTCATTTTTCCTCACATGCCCTGCGCGTGTAAGTAGCACTGCTGTTATCTTGCTGCCTTAGCAAGGAGCTTCAGGCCGATGTGCTGTCACGCTAATGATTATAAACACCCCCCCGGCTTACCCCATTCATCTTTTTTCCCCTGCTCAGATCTCAGTATAGATGCGATGGACGTGGCCGGTGAGCAACAATTGGACGTTGAACATAATCTGTTCAAACAGCGGCTGGACAAAGACCTCAAACCTGTCACCCAAGAGGCTGATAAACATGGTAAACTTAGACTTACACTCTGACATATTACCTCATGACACTGATCGACAGTTCTTGACTGGTATTCAGGCCAAAAATGGCGCTCCATTCACAAATCGAAACGGCAACAAAAGTGCAAGGGGCTACACTGATATGTTACAGGTTATCTGTGAATAGAGGAAAATATGACCCAGGGAGGGATGTTTGAGCAACACATCCATGAGGTCAAAACACTGCACAGCATTTTATAAGAGTAAGACAGGCAGCAGCAGTTTGCTCCTCTTCCTTAGTGCTTGTGAGGTTAGCAGACATTAAACACTACAAGGTTCTCACTGGAAAGTTTGGGTGCACATTCTTGACTTTCCTTTTTGATTGTGCGTTAACAGATATCACTGGAATACATGACAAGAAACGTAAGTTTTTTGCTGGGCAGCCCTGCGTTTTTTTGCCAGAGCCTCTGCGACGGGAATTTCTGAATCGTTTGTTGGTGGTGGAGGAGGAGGAGGAGGATGATGATGATGATGATAATGATGATGGTGATGGTGATGATTGTGTTGGGGGGTTTTTTGTGTGTAGAACTTGGTAAAGCTGACGATGGTGAAGTGTTTGACCCCAGTACACTGGACCCAAACAGATGTGAGAGCTGCTATGGAGCTGAGACTGAAGACCTCAAGTAAGACACCAGCACACACAGGCCTTTTCTGTCTTTGTGTTTTCTGTATAATCTTGTATTTACATCCCTTGGTGTTTGTGCAGATGCTGTAACACTTGTGATGATGTGCGAGAGGCGTACCGGCGTCGAGGCTGGGCGTTCAAGAACGCCGACACCATCGAGCAGTGTAAGAGGGAGGGCTTCACACAGAAGATGCAGGAGCAGAAGAATGAAGGCTGTCAGGTTTACGGCTTCTTGGAGGTCAATAAGGTACTCCAATTCTTACCTGTGAATTATTGTTGGTATCACAAAAATGTCAGTTTTTCAACAAAGAGCAACAACCTTGTTTTTCATTCAGTGTGATTTGGGGGAAAATAAAAAGTTCAGAGCAACATGTGAAAATATAAAAATTCAATGACATGTAATACTTTAGCCAATACTAGGAACTCCTCTGATAATAGTACTTTAGATCAAGCTGCAAAATTAAAGTGGTATAATTTTATGATTTGTTCAAACAACTCATAGACAAACAAACACACGTTTAAACTCTTCCTCAGACTGTCATTGCTACTCAAAATGAAATTCTTTCTGTTAAATTTGAGAGTAAAGGGGATATATTTTGAGAACAAGGATGTCATATGTGAATAAAATTGTAATTTGAAGAAAAAGATAAGCTTTATACCTGTCACTGGAAAGGGACTTCAGTCCAAAATATATATCATATCTTGCAAGGAAAAATAGTGTCAAAACTGTCATATATGAACTATATTAAGGATTGCTTAATAACATACAACACTTTGTTCTTAAAATACAGTAACCTTCTGATAACTATGAATTGAACAGTGAATTTTTGCAATGTTTTTGACTTTTTTTCTCAAAATTTGATATGATATATTAGTTTTTCTTTCCTGACAGTGGCCCTAATACTATATTGATTGGATTATTTGTATTTACCCTCTCATCCTCTTTGTGTCTCAGGTGGCAGGAAATTTCCACTTCGCTCCAGGAAAAAGTTTCCAGCAGTCTCATGTCCACGGTAAGACCTGCTGTTTATCCACTCTCTTCATACACACAAACACACTGAACCATTCAAAGGCTTTTAAACACCCTGCGGTAGATTCCTGTAGCAGACAACGTACTCTGGATATTTGTTCTATAATTAAACGCCAGCCTTTCTACATGTTTCTAACTTATACAGTGGTAGCCATTTTAAAACTACCTTTAGGTCTTTGTTGGAAGTTTTTTTTATAGGTGAAGACGCACTACACAGCTGTCATGTTGGGAGATCAGGCACAGTAGTCCAGGGTAGTCGCACTGTATTTCATCTCTATACAGTGTGTCTTTGAGTGAGACTCCAGTTAAAGACTGAAATCACAACATGTTATAAAAACTGCTCTTTATTGACAAGTAGCCAACTGACATAATGACTAACTTGCAGCTCTACAGCAAAAGTCTTGCACAAAATCACAGCTGCAGCAAGCTGTACCAACTCCAAATTTGTTTGGGGTTAGTGAGGAAAAGTGTTTAGACAGGTGTTAATGTGTCAGGGAAACTGAAACTAAATAAATAAAACAAAATAAAGGGTGTTCAGAAACGTTTGACTGGTAAGTGTGTTGATCAGTCTCTGTTCATTTATCAATTCATCATCCCTCATCATAGATCCAACATCCACACCCATCACATCCATTAACAAAATCATTGCATGTTGAAATTTTCCAGCAACAATTCATGTGTGATTTTCATTCAACATGTTTCAATGCTTGTGAACTAGAAATTACATTTTGTCAGTATTTTTATTTAAAACATCCATGGTAGTTTAGGGGTAAGAGGTTATCGCAGTATAACATCTCAGAAAATATCACAGTTCACATTATAATTATTGTCATCATGAGTTACAATGACCCTTAAATAAATGAAATACTCATGCTTTCTTAAAATTTCACAAAACATTATGTCCTGACAAAAGTTGTAAAAAGTTTACCTTTTGAAAATAAATAAATAGATGCGCAGGTGAGATTGCTTTTTTTTCTTCCAATACCGTTAAGAACCGTTAACTGTGAATCCACTGCAACCCCATTATGGTTGAATCCTAAAGGTGTTGTTTTAGGGCACACAGTATTGTTTTGAGCGTCTGTTTAGCTCTCTGTTGTACAGTTTGACTCGCACAGGTGAAGGTTGGACACCAGCTCACAGATGCTTTATTCACTCTGTTGAGGTTGCGTTGTTAGACATATCTTCAAACCCAGCATGTTGGACTTATTATTAACTCACCAGGTGATCTGGTACAGATTTGTACAAATGCTTTGGCGCAGATGTCTGATTTGATTGAGTCCTGTGATGAAAGCTCAAGTCCTCTGTGTGCAGGTCCAAGTAATCAATATTCAAGTACCAGTCTAGTCGCATGTTCATTTAAAATCAGATCTCTTGCTTAAATATGCACCACCAGTGCTGGAATTAGTTGTTGTGTTTTTCACCCTTTGAGGATTAATGCAGCCGTCTAGACTGGGTGTTTATTAATTTATTTAGTTAGTTCATTATTTTTTGCCCACTTCTATGTTTGCTTCTATGTTTTCTGTGACCTTGAACACTGGGACGATGAATGGATGTCACATGACACCATGTCATTCCTTTCATTTTTCAAACAACGCAGGAGAGTTTGACTGATACAAGGTTTCTAAATCTGATGCCAGTGTTATATGATTGATGTAGTATTCTGTAAGTGTAAAATCAACTATTTTAATCAAAGTCTGTCATGATTAGATTTCTATGGCTCTATTCTTACACCAAAACTAAATTCATACAATTGTTTTTCCGAAGATGACAAATAAAATCAGTCCCTTTAGAGTATCTGCTCTGACTGGCACATTTTTGTGTTTTCTTATTTACTACAAAAAGAACATTATCACTAAATCACTTGATTATGCATTAGTCTAACTCCATTTTTTTGCATTTCCTCATTCCTCTGCATTTCTCTACATTTTTATTTCTTTCATCCTTTAACTTCTGTTGTCAACTTTTGCTCTGCCATCATTGTGTGTCACTTTTGGTCTTTGACTGGACTGTTCTGTTTTCCCTGCCTGCTAAAACTTTCCCTCATCTGCAAATTAAAGAGCAGGAAATTAACAGTATCCATCCATCAAATGCTTAAATGAATCGTCTCTAACAGCCACTTCAGCAGGAAAAGCGCCACAATTTATGTGCTGCTTCTAATTTGAACAAACAGTAGTTGGCTTCTAAAATGGAAAACGTGGTCAGTAAGTTAGATTCCTGTTCAGGTCTGAACTGAACATACTGTGATGTGGTGCCAACCTGGTTGGTTGATAACATATTACAAGTGGCTTAAGTCTGAGCTGCACTTACCAGTGTTGCTGTTAGTTTCCTACCCTGAGAATCCTCTGATCTCTGGCTCTGGGTTGGGAGATAAATTAATCGGATTGAACTTATTTAAATTATGTTGTTTGGCGTTACATTTCAATGCTTGGCTGCAGAAACAAGAGACAAGAATCACTCATGCTGAGTATTTCACTAAATGCGGTTGAAATAAATCGGCCATATTCTGGTCCCAAACCCCCTTTTAGTCTGGACTGACCTTAAAGTGTTGAACACTGCATCATGCGTTTGGGGCTGCACGATTAACCCGACAGAAGTTATACAGACTATTTTCTAAAGCTCTTTTTCTTTGGCACAGAAAAAAAATAATCCTCCTCAATGAGATATTCTGCGAAACCTCTGGATTGTAAATCAATTCATAAATTGGACTTGGAAATCAACCAAAACATGAGCACAGAAGCCTGAGGGAAGTTTGTCCTCCATAAAATTAGATTTGTAAAAAACATATTGAGCATAGAAAATATGAAACATTTTGTCAGTGTTGTGCAGCCCCTACCGGCACCCTCCCACCCATTAACATAACATGGTTTGTTGTCTACCTGCATCATTATAGTGACTCTTCTCTCTTCTTTCTGCAGTGCACGCTGTGGAAAGTAAGTCCATCTTTATTTGCAGTTTTATTTTATAAATACCTCTAATAAGAGCCTCATTAAAGTACAGTAACTTTTTATTGATATATGGGAAAGTACTAATGGGAATATTTTGTAAAATTAAATGAAAATGACTTGGTTTAAAAACGTTGAATTTAAGTACAGGATCATACTCGCTGTAGAAAATCCAGTTTCCACGTCAGAAGAAAATCTCTGGTCATTTGTTAAATTTACAATTCTGATGTGATCATATTCACAAGACACACCCATAAATTACTTAACACATAGTAACATAAAACCAGTTAATATACCTAAATATTATTGTGGTATCTTCAGCATGTAATTTGGCATAAAGGGCTTGTTCCAGTTCCGACTTTTCTCTCACATGACCTTCTGCACATTAGCCTTGGATCTCACTGTAGCACTGTTCTGCATCTGCAGACGTATTCAGAACTTTTGATTGTGTCAGTCACAGTGTGAAATTCACACCATTGACCAAACCAGAACTGTCTTGTTAGAAAATAAATGTGTCTCCGTTTAGAGGCTCATATACTTTTAATTATTAATAAAAAAAACTAAAGTTTTATCCTGAACAGACTGAACACCTGCTTTGTAATTGTGTTTTTGTAGTACTTTCCAACAGAAAACAAAAAAATAAATAAAATAAATCTGCTGTTAGCTATATTTACTATATTAGCTGACACTTTTACCCACTTACTGTACGTATTTAGTCAGACATCAAATCTGAAGTCTTTGATTGGGGTTATTTAGCCAGTTTTACATTTACATTTATTCATTTAGCTGACGCTTTTATCCAAAGCGGCTTACAATTGCTATTTATATCAGCATAGGGGTTAAGTGTCTTGCTCAGGGACACAGTGGTGGATGGGTCACAGTGGGGGATTGAACCCAGATCTCTCACACCAAAGGCAGGCATCTTATCTATTGTGCCATCACCACCCCATCAGTTTTAGCATTTTTAGAAATGTAGTTAATATTAGGTATGTGGACAGGTTTGCAGCCAATCAGATTTTAGATAGTGGGAAGAAACACTTCATATTAACACTTGCTTACACAGTATACTTAAAAAGCTTACACTATTTAATGTGAAGGAATAATATCATAAAATGTCAGCATGCTCAGGCATTTCTGAATTTACTGAAGGATTCAAAAGCAAACCAAATACTTTGTGACTGTTTATAAATACAACCAGCAACATTTAAGGGATGTCAGATGTCACCATAGTACCCTGAGAAAAGATGTTACTGATATCAACTTGTGTGTGACTTTTGGCTTTGGATTATTTGCTTCCTTTCATCTACAAACTGATCTGACCGAATCAATATGCAGTAATCAATCACAACCAATCATCAATAACTCACATTTCTGACAGATCCTTTTTCTTTACTAAATCTATTTGAAGTTAAGTGATGTGTTTTGTTTGTGTTTGCAGTTCATGACCTGCAGAGTTTCGGCTTAGACAACGTAAGTAGCACAACTGATTTTCTGTATCTAAGTTTGTGTTACTTTACGATTTCAAAAATATTAAAGATTATAGATTTGTATGAATTTTTTCTTTGCTTACTTAAAGATATTGTTTCTTTTTTTTGTTGTTAGTTTGTATAATTTAAAAAAATTTCAAACCTTGAATTGACTGTCATATTCAAGACTATATATAGTAATGCTATATAAACACTTCACATTATATAGTAATACTATATAAACACTCAATATAGGGCTGGGCCGTTATCGCAATACCCTCAATAGCAATATAATACATTTTCAATATATCATCAAACATTTGGTTTAATTCATTTGAATCATGAACAAATTAGCACTTCATTTTCTATAAAATATTATTTTGTTGAGGAAAAGGGACTAAAATAAGATTTTACTTAACTTCACTCATGTATTTGTTGAAAAACAGGTTTTATCATAATAGTTTATAATGTTATACCTCAGATTTGTTAAGTGGTCCGCTGTTTGGCATCAATTGTTTGTCGCGTTGACCGTAAAGAAGAGTTTAACCACACAATTAACCATCTGGTTTCTTCAATTTTCACTCAAGAACAAAAATCAGCCTTTAAACTTGAAAGAAATAATGATTTGATATATATCGTGATAATCATCTATATCGAATCATATGAACTGTTTTATCGTGATAACATGTTTGGCCATGTTGCCCAGCCCTAACTCAATATTATGTGTCTCTTATTATAAATACTAAGGAAAGACTTTAGAGTACAAGCAGTTATGTGATCTTATTTTGTGTTGGGCGTCTGATACCATGATCTTTCACAAACAGCTGGGAATGAAGACATTTTTAATAGACAAAGGTTGCTAAAGTCTGTAAACTTCTAATCTCTGTTATGCTCCAGATAAACATGACCCATCTGATAAAGCACCTGTCGTTTGGTAAAGATTACCCCGGCATCGTTAACCCTCTGGACGAGACAGATGTCACAGCGCCACAAGGTCAGTAATATAATGGTTTTACTGTTTTCACTAAGCAGCAGTGTAACACTAATGTTTGGTTTTCTTGAAATACATCTGAAAATACATGCATTTGATCTAAAGGTTACCATTCCATCATGTTAATGCTTAGTTCAAAATTTTACCTCTTTTGCTTGAAAACCCTACCATGACCTACATTTTCCTCATCTGCTTGTTTATGTGGACGTTCATGCAGTGCCCATAACTTATGACCATGTGGACTGTCCCTGTCTACCACACATGAGCAACAAGAAAGCGCTTTTATTAGCTACACATAACTGCATCTGTCATAATCAATGCATAATTTCACGGGATGCTGTAAACATGGCATTTGCTGTCGTAGGAGTGCACTAACTCAAACTGAAGTGGCCACCAGTTAAACCACAGTTGTTTCCGATTAATGTGGAGCACTGGAAGAAGCGGTTACTGGTTCAGCTTCTGGTTACCTGTTAAGAATTTTAACCCAAATAGAAACAAGAGATTTGAACATTAAGGCAAAATCCCACTTGTGGTTTCACTCAGTTTCATAAGAAGACCAATGTGATGATTACACAAACAAAGCGTGCTGTGTGTGCAGGTGGAATTTTCCTGCAAGAAATAAGCATCAGAAAGTGCAACACATCCACTCTAAAAGAACATCTGACGAATCCGAACTTTTTATTGACAAAACTAGGCTGTCGGTTGAGAGAGTGGCGACATCGAGCAGACAGAGAGCTGTAGTTGTAATTCCTGGAAGAGTCCCATAGCTGTACAGTTGTGTGGAGGTTGTTACTCGTCAGCAGCGGATGCCCATACCAATGGCCATGAAGGTGCCAAATGTACCCCCGCTCTGCATCATGGTCTTCCCTACTCCTCCCATCAGCTCCCTGCCACGCATGCCGATCCTACAGACAGAAGAGACGGCTTTTATTTAGTGTCAACTGATTTGGGAAGACAGTTTACAAGCTGTTCCCTCAGGAAAGTGACCATCAGTCTCCAGTTTGAATGTTGGACTCAACTGTAGGTTGAAATGTAGACTTGTAATCTAACATGTAAATAACAGAGTCAGGTGGTGTATTGTTTAAACTTTTAGGATACCAGTACCAAAACCAGTACCCTTACAGTGATACTGATACCAAGAGTACTTCATTCGATACCTTGCATAAAATGCCACCTGTTGAAGCCATAGTACTTGATTGGTAGCCTATTATTATTTTTATTGTTGTTATGGACAAGCAAGGCTCTTTCTGCTGTTCTTGTTCTCTATTTTCTTCTCGTTTCAAATAACTGTTACATAAAAGTATTGGGAAACTGTATCAGATCCTCCTCATCCTAATTAGTTCATCCTCACGGGTAGTATTATACGGGAAAAGACTGCAGCTTGCGAATTCTTTTATATTTGAATGAGAGGAGGAGTGAAATAGTTTTTAGGTAATTTTTTGATACGTGTGTTGAAAGTAAACAACAGAAAAAACTTTCGATGAATTGAAAGATCTCCGCGAGTGTTTTTTCCTTTAGTGGTGAGTCACAAACCTCCAAAAATGACAGTCACAAGTATAAAATGAGAATGGAGTCTGTTTAAACAAGTCACCATGAGTAAAATCAGCTAATTGTTGCTGTGCTACAATAGTGTTTAATTGATGTGATGGAACGCAGTGATCGATTAGTGACAAGTGATGTGAATAGCAAATAAAATGTGCAGAGAAGTGTTAAATGATACCAGAAGATGAAACCAATGCAAAGCCAAGCTTGTGATGATAAACTTGCAACAGTGAAACATGCCTGAGACCGCAGCTGAAGGTAAGCGGCTGTTAAAATCACGCATTGATTTGGCGCGTGCAGACTTTAGACTCTCTTTCGTGTGTTGTTTGCATGTTTGGCTTCAAGCAAAACCATACAAATAGTAATATTTTTCCGCGATCTGGTTACAAAAAGAATAGAATGAAGTACTGGTTTGATTGGATTCTACTCGATACTGGGCTGTTTCGGTCGATACCCATCCCTAGTGTCAGGTAACTCTGAGTCGATATGGCTGATCCATAACAGTACACACTTTGAACTACTGGAGAGTGCCATTTATGACCATTACTGGTGGATACTAAGAAACAAATAAGTACTCCTGAATGAATCGAAACTTGAAAGCCTGTTGCACCAGTGATACGCAAGTTCTATCTTAAGTTAAGGTGCAAAGTCCACACTAAACAACACGTTGAAACTAATTAGTTTGAGAATTAAGCTGTGTCGATGTTTGGTTGCACCACCGTCGTAAGGTTCATCTTAGCTACTCTGGCGTAAAGTCCATACTAATCAAAATATTGAAAACAGAAAGTTACTTATTATTATAAAGAGGCTAACTGCTAAAAGTAACAACAAAACACCAACAAAAATGTAAACAAGGACAAAGAATTATGATTAGGTGATAACTATGAAACCTTAATGTACAGCTAGTCCAACAGTGACAGAGTGGTAATACACTGTAACATTACCTGTAACGTACCGTATAACGGGCATATGAAATTGTAACATAACTTTTAAACGCATAGGAGCCATTATACATGGGGGCACATGTCCCCCTATTTCAAAATCTGTGCTAAGCTTCAAAGTCCAATCGGGTGGCTGCTGAGAGGAAGGCTCACATTATTCTGCTTTTTAAAAGACGCCGTTTTACAGTAAAGTTACTGAGAGGAAAAAAGTTGTGCCAGTTTTTTTTTTATTTGACAGAAAATGTAGAATAAATCACCCACCAGCCCCCAAAGTGACCTGACAGTTTAGAATAATGAACAGGGTGAAAATGACAAATTAGTTATTTAAAAGGCTGGCTGTGGCTATCAGCATCATGGATATAACAGTTGCGTTTAGGGGAAATGATTTTTCATGTGTATGATATGCCAATATTTTAGTCTGAATGTTTGGGGGGCAGTTATGATTGATTGGTCCGTTGAACAGCTCACAATGGCCCCCGGACTGTAACAACTGATCTTAACGGAAAGTTAAAGTTACGGTTTCATCAGTTGCTTTTTCTATAAAGTCAGAATAGTTTGGGGGCACACTAAGTTCAGAGTTACCTGAGACAGGAGAAAGTGCCAAACATGGCACCAGCAGCCATTCCTACTGCAAACCCCATCATGAAGCCCATCTTGACCCGGTCAAAACAGCTGGGCTGGGTCTGGCCATATGGACCTACAGCCACTGGCATCTGGAGGGGGAAGACAGACTCAAGACAGGTTAGAGATGAAATCGATGGAGCAGTAGGCGGTTAATATTTTCAAAGTGACACACAGTATGATCTGATAGCATGAGGAACAAAATAGCCAGACCACATCCTGATACAGTATGGCTTATGATCTACTCTGTTCACATGTGTGACTACTACCAAAAACGTGACTATGTGAAGAAGCAGTGCTACTTCATAGTCACGGAAGCTGTAGCCTAATTCATGTTACTTCAAGGGCCCTTGGTTCACTGTGTGGCAAGTGGTTTGTGGTAATAATAAGTTTGGAAAAGATAAAGGCCTTAAGCTGGATCATGCTTGATTACCTGATCTTGAGGTTAACGTTCTAGCTAAAAGTACAGCTGCTATTAGTGCCTACACTTTAAAGTACCACTGCCAAGTCTGTTTAAAGAGACTGCAAGACATTTATTTTTGTTTTCTGGTGTGTTGCTTCTATTTCGTTTGTGCGTTGTGGAAGATTAGTGCAGCACTACATCAGCCACACATTGAAATCAAGCACTTTTTACTTGGTCTTTTTTCCATGTGAACTTACTGGAAGCCTGCCAATAGTTAGTATGTAGTATGGATTTGGGTACACTCAATGTGTAATGCTTTAAACATCACGTTTGAAAACACATTTTTTGAGTTTTCTAAAAGTCAGACATTTGACCTTTATATCTATCTTGCTAACAACGGTAATTCTTTTACCAGCATGTCATGTTTCTACTGTCCACTTAAATCTACCAGCGGTGCCTTAAATACAGACGACTGGTAGTTAAGCTGCTGGTTGACACTGGCCTTAACGTTAATGATTAAGTTGTGTTGCTAAGCCATGAAGTGTTAAGCTAAGCTAAGCTAAGCTAACCGCAGAGAGCACACTTATGTTCACGTTTGCAGACAAAATAACAAGCGGGTTGTTTAACTACAGTCGTTAAATTGTAACTATATAATACCATACAGAAACGTTATTTCTGTTAACATTTCACTATTTATCCCACCAGATCTTTTGTTGTGCTAGCTTAGCATGCTAACTAGCGTGCTAACGTCACCTGTGGCCTTGACAAGTAAACACGGCACGTTTTCTGCCACAAATGGTGTCTTTCATCAACACATTCTTGAAAATCCGTCTAAAATTGACCCTTACCTTGAACTATCTGTTTAAAATAAGGTTCGTTTTCTGGTTCCTAAATTGGAGGACTGTCGTATTTTTGAGCGCAGGTGCGTTTAAATCATAGACTGTATATAAGAAGGTTTCAGCAGACCTCCATAACCAGATAGAGGAAAGAGAAAGGGAAGCAATTAAAGAGGAGAAATAGCGCGCAGGAGAAAATGAACAGCGCCACCCGAGGTTTATTTCAGTCAGTGTTATAGATTTTAACAGTGGTGGACAGGAGCTAAGTACATTCAATTTGAGGTACTTTACTTGAGTATTTTCTTTTCATGCCAATTTCTTTTTCTACTCTGCTACATCTCAGAGGGAGATATTGAACTTTTTACTTCACTACATTTATCTGACAGCTTTATCAGTTATTTTGCAAATGAACATTTTTACACAAAACATATGTAGAGCTTATAAAATATGATGTTTTGTTATAAATTAAACTACCCAACAATTTATACAAGTACAGCTGAAACTATTAAGTTGGCAACTCTTCTGATTCATTTAGTCATTTTTCATGCAAGAATATCTCATGGTTCCAGCTTTACTGTTGTGAAGACCTGCTTTTGCTTTTATTTTAATTATTTGAATGTGGTGTAAATAATGTTGAGGTTTGGACTGTTGGATGGACAAAACGAGCATTATGAAGGTGTCATCTTTGGCTCTGGGTAACTGTGACGGCATTTCTCACTATTTTCAGAAATCATAATCAGCAGACGAATTCACAATCAAAATAATTATTAGTTGCAGTTTGATACAAACTAGTTCATAATGAGCTTCATCTTAACAACTACAGCAGGAAAATATTGCTTTTACATGAATGCATGAGAAAAAATAATCTCGTAAGATAATATATAATATTAAATATTATATTAAAAAACATTTTGATCTTGAGTGTCTTCTGTGCGTCTGCATTCATATTTCAGTATAATTTCCTTTCTCTTCCCACAGCATCAATGATGTACCAGTACTTTGTGAAAATTGTTCCCACCATATATGTGAAAACTGATGGAGAGGTGAGTCCATAATTGTATTAAGTTTATTTTACATGAGGTCTGAAGATTTTGATCCTCTTCTTTTTGAAACATTGTCTTTAGTAGTTTATTCAGCATTTAAATGAGACTTGTTGTGTACCATGAAGCAAACATTCATTTATCTTTGGTGTTTGAGTTTCCCCAAAATACTCCATCTATCCTAACACAGTATTTTGTTGTCATTATTTTTTTGCAGGTAGTAAAAACAAACCAGTTCTCAGTCACCAGGCATGAGAAAGTGGCCAACGGACTTATAGGAGACCAGGGCCTGCCAGGCGTGTTTGTTTTATATGAGCTGTCACCCATGATGGTTAAATTCACAGAGAAACACAGGTAGGAGACAATTGAGGTACTCTCATAATAAAAAGCTGCCAGTTACAGCACTGCTAAAACTTTTTTTTTACACATTAAGCATGTGCAGATGGCTTAGCAGTGTACTTATCCAGCAATATGGTAACTGTGTTGTTGAAACTGTATAATACAGGAATAATGCATGAGCTGTATCTGTACGCGAGCTGGTTCTGATCGTGTTGTTGTCAGAAATCAAAAGAACCACTGTTGGTGGTCGATCCTGCAAGACATTTGGATCAGGCTGCCTGGTACCTTTTGAGTTTCTGATTCTTGTGATCAGCAACGGCATGTATTGTGGTCCAATTCACAATATCTCGGATCTTGTGGCTTCTCATAGATCATACCAGCTCTAATTGCAAAAAAGCTTTGTTGAAACTATCACAATGTAATTTTACGAACTAGTAGAGAGAGTGCAATGAATTGGTCAGACTGACAAGTTGACAATTAAAGACCCGCTCAGTATGTATCTTGGTCACAAATTAAATAAACCCAACAACAAATCTAAGGTATCTCTTTCAAGATTGTGTTTATGTTTTTAAAAAAACAACTATGGGCTGATATATCGTTATCAGATTATTTAAATTCCCAAATATTAAAATCCAGTACCGGGCCGCGGCGGTCTATAGTTCAAGACATCCTTATTTGTAACATGGAGATGTAATGATTCAAGCAGTTTTTAAAAAGGACGGGGTGTTTTAGGTTTGAATACTTCAAGTGTCTGATTCATACGGCTTTAGGAACAATTTTGCAATAACATGATTTAGAAAAAATAACCAGATACTACATTAATAATTAAAATAATAGTTTTAAAAAGGGTAATAAAAGAATAAGTACATTTAAATTGCCAGTCTGTCACATCTTTAAGGAGGATTTTACTGACAGTTATGTCAGTTAAGAAAGAATACAAGTTTCTCTAAATGTTAATAACCAGAACACTCTCTCTCTCTTCAGATCATTCACACACTTCTTAACAGGAGTTTGTGCCATTATTGGAGGTGTATTTACAGGTTAGTCCCTCAATTTGACGATGTCATTTGACACTGTGTGTTACCTGATAATATATCGCAGACTGAAATTATATGGATATGAATAGAAATTTAGTGTGGATGAAATCTGACTCTCTTCTTCTGTTCTTTTTCTTCCCCTCTTCTGTTACTTCTCTTTCATGCAGTGGCCGGTCTGATCGATTCGCTCATTTACCACTCAGCTCGGGTTATTCAGAAGAAGATCGAGCTGGGCAAGGCGTCCTAACAGTGCCCCCTGCTGGCTTCCACGGTGCAACACAGACCAAGACACGGACACGGAGATAGAAAGAAAAGGGACAGACAAACGGACAGGAGTAGAAGTTTGGAAACAGAATCAAGCAGTTTGTTTTCCTTCAGTCTTTCTGTCAGATTGAGTGAAAGAAATACAGAGAGATGTTTTGAATCAGCCAAGTTTTTAATTCCTCTGTCTCTCTTTTCGTTGTGACAAAGCACTGGAGAGGAACTTGTGGGCTTTTTCTGAATTTTGCTCTCCACTGTTAAATTCGTTGCCAACAGGACAGAGTCAGAATCAGACACTGACCAGAGACTTTGAGACTGAACTCCAGCAGAGACGAGGACACCAGGCTCCAGAAGTTCCTTCATGGGGAACAGGAACTTCCCTCCCTCCCTCCTGTTTATGACCTGCTTCAGCGCCGTTCAGTGCTCTAAACACTACACTGAATGCTCGTCAGAGGATCTATGCTCAAGCGTTTGTTCCAGAGGGGTGAGGATGAGAGGGCAATGAGACATTTTAAAGGAATTTGTCACCCACATGTTTAATTTTCCCATCAGTTACTGACCCCATGTAAACCTGGACTGCTTGATTGGACTCGCCTTTCTTAATGCAGCATCACAGAAATGTTTTCTAATGAGTACAAGAAAATTACATTGTGATATCAATGTAACAGATGTATTGAGATCACAGAGTGATTGGTTTGGCTGTAGGTTTAATGATGTCTGATGATATATTTCATACTTTTCTTTTTTTTCAGCAAATCCCATGAAAAAAGACAACAATAATGTATTTAATATAAGTATTCTAATGATCCAAAGCCTGATATATTTAATTCTTCTGGGCCACACAGTGAGCCACACTGTTGCACTGGGTGAGCACACACACTGGATTTTTTTTTGTCTCAATCCCACACACACTACTGTGCTGCTTGAAATGCTCACTAGAGCACCAAAAAGTAGTCACCAACAAATATACTATTTTGTCGTTGTTTGAGTAACTTTTGATAAAAAACTACAGCTGTTTAAGGGGAAAAATCCTGAGCCACCTTTAAAGATCTGTGGTTCAGTAGGAACAAGTGAGCTTGGGTCTTGGAGAGCCACAGACATGATGGAGACGTCAGAAAGTAGAGCGAAGGACTAACGCATTGTTGGTTCTGGTCTTTTCATGGGATTTATTGACACTAAGAACAATACAGTATTGTCTGCCTTCTAGTTCTCTCCACACGCACACTGTCTGTTTTTTAGACAAATCAGGAATTTAGTGTTTAAGTGTTTAAATGTATTAACCTTAAATAAAATTCCACTCCTTCAGATAAACCCACGTTCAATGCCAAGCAGGATCTGAAAGGAGTATTAGAATACAAGTTTGCCAAACAAGTCACTTGTTTTGATATTGTTGAAATCTCTCGCTCTAATCGCTCTGTTCTCTGTGAATGTGAGAAAGAAGTCATCCGGTACTTCAGGCATCAAGTTGTGAGTAGTTGCAACGAAACATTTTGGGTGACAAGTTCCCTTAAAGACTTGCTGTATTCAAAATGCGTGAGACCAGCTGATTTTCATTTGAAACAGCTAAAACGACAGCACTTTGCAGGCATATTTTTTAGCCCTCGCTTGTTTTAAAGCTACTATGTGTAGGATTTTGTAAGTTGAGACAATCCCAATGGAGGTTGGTGCAGCCTGGTTTGCATTGGATCTGTGGGTGGTGGTGCATGTTAGTCTATCCTGATAATCGAACAGAATTTTGTTTACGTCATTATTGACGTGTTCCTGTCTGATCCAGGATTCAAGTCCAGCTCGTCAACACAAACTTATGCAGATCGTACACATAGTAGCTTTAAAAAGAAGTTGCTTTTAAGACTAAATAAATGACTAAATGACTTGAACCATGAAGGACTACCTGCAGAGTGCCAAATTCTTTCAGTGTTGTAAGTGTTATGGCAAAACCAACATGTGGCTCAGTTTCTTTTGTCCCCCAGCTTTCTTTATCTCAGAATATAAAAATGAACCTTGACCAGAAAAATCAATGTAGCTTTTCCGACTGTGCTCTGCTTTTCTTTCTCCCCTTTCCTCGGCATCCATCCTCAGTGACCAACACCTCATGTTTTAAATTGTTTGCTACTAGAAAATGTATGCAAATTCAGGCACAGTTTTTGGGAAAGTTGCCTCCCTTATTGACAAAATGACCCTTTTCCTGACTTTTCCCTCAACGTGATCATGCAGCTATTTGGAAATGAACACTTCACATGATTTTGCCTTTTTTTTTGTTTAACCTTCAGAGTGTAAATACTGTACAGACACATCCACCACTGCCTCAGAGAAGGGAGGGAAACTAAACCGTATATAACTCCCAACAGATGAAGTGTTATGCTGCACTGTGTCAAGTGTTAAAATGCACTCAGATTAGGTGAGATTCATTTTTAATATAGGGAAAAGGGCTGCTTCTATTCTGCCTATTTCATTCTTTCATTCGCTGGGATAAGAGAACACCCTGTTAGACTGCTGTCAAACAACATGCTTATGTTTTTGTATTTTAGTTTTGTATTTTGTCTGTGGTTGTAAGGAATGTTAATAGGACCATAACACAAGCAGTTGCTTAAGATGATGCTCCTCCCCCTGTGGTCCTGTGAGGTCTCAAAAGTGTTATTCTCATCCAGAAACTCATTCAGATAATGACAGGGCCGGCAGGGAGGCAGCAGGAAGCTCCCGACCACAAGAACACAGCGTGTAAATGTTGGGTTGATTCTGACCATATGAGACCCAGATGTTTCTGCTGGTTTGATCTTTGCCTGTTGTTTGCCTCTGTTTATTTTGACCGTCCTGAGTGTTAGATAGACAGAAACAGACTCAGCAAGGTGAGAATGTTGCTTTAAAAGGAATTTGTCTGAAAAGACCACAATGGTGGTTTCACATGTTTTTGCCCATTAACCACAAATCAGGCAGTGTATATCACAACCTTCCAGTTTTATTTTAATATAATATCCGATATTTACAGATTGGAACTTGGTTCATGAGTCGACTGCCTAATAATTCACAGTTTTTGTTCAGAAGTTCCAGATCCTGAAGGCTCCTCTTTCACCTGCAATACACAATATCAGTCTGTCTAATATTCAAATGCTACAGGTGCTTTGCTTTTTACTGGGAAACAAATAGGGCTGAACACTATTTTCTTGATGCATCAATACATTAATTCTAATCACTTTGTCATTTGATATAGTATAAAATGTCTGATTGAAAAAACCCTCAAAGGGTTCCCAGAGCCCAAGGTGACACCTTCATTTGTCTTTTTCCGGCCAGCTGTCCAAAACCCAACCATGTTTGGTTTACGAGAGCAGCAAATCTTCACATTTGAGAAGCTGGAATGAGAGAATGCTTGGCATTTTTGCTTGAAAAGTGTTATTATCAAAATAGTTAATTTTCAGTTGATCCATTCTGATTGGTTATCCAAAACAGCAATAACAGGTTTCAGGTGACACTTTCAGTTTGACTAAAGGCAAGTGAAGAGGTTGTCCATTAAATAATTGGTGCTTGGTCTTTCTGAATAAACCACCAGTTTAGCCAATTTAAATCACCTGTGCGTTTTGATGATGTTTGATTTAATCTATGTGGTGCTCTTTTCTTTGTGTGAAGGAAGTCATGATGTTGCTCTCAGTTCTTCTGTTTCTGTCCTAACAAACTAGAACCACGAATGTATCAGCTCCTGCAGGTTGGAGGATTTTAATCCCAGTAATGGTGTAGATTTCTTAAAATATGTCATAGTTTATTGCTTTAAGGACAAAATCAACCTTGCAACATTGACCAAAACTTCATTTTATGGTTTGAACAAAACTGAACTTCTGTTTGGCTCTTCTCTAGATTCACTAAGTTGATAGACAAATACAGTATGTAATAGTAGATATAGTTAACGTCATGATGAAGTTCAGTGATGTTCAGAGTGAGTCTGAGACTGAAGCCTGTGTGACTGTTGCAGCTAACAGCAACATGAAAAAGAGTATTATGACTGCAAAAAGACACAAAACGTCTGGTATTTCTTCTCTGTGTCTGTGTTTAAATAACTTCTGAAATCAGATACCGTGATGATACAGTTTGATCATGAAAGTTCCTGATGATTCAGTTGTTGATGGTTGATTGTTGCATCTTTTAACATCTAAATCAGGAGCAGGGGTTATGTGTATGTATGTGTGTTCTGATGCAAGTTGCCGTGTGTGTGGGAGAGTGTGAATCAGTGTGAATGAGTGTGACAGAGAAATGTATTTATATTTGGATTGTCCTCAAACCGTTTTTAAAATGACATAAAATAAATGTTGAATACACCTTCAAGTTTGCCTCTTCATTATTTTGGTTTGATGTTAAAAATCAATATTTTTTTAATTTTATCAACTTACATTAGTACATCAGATTTACAGTAGTAGTCACAGTAGTTAAATATAGTAGTTTACAGTAGTTAAATATATTCTTAGTTGATTAACAATGAGAGCTGAGCCATCAGGGACACTGTTCTGCTTGATGTTTTGGGTTGATTTCAGTTTTTCATAACAACAAAACTGGATTCACACAAATATAGTAACATTGTCCCTCGTGCCAGAAAGACACAAAGCGTCACCGGTGAAAGGACCACATTAAATCCCAGCAGGAAGCACAACAGATTGATCAATATAGTTAGTGAATATACAGTGTCCACAAGAGTAAAAGTAAAAAGAAACAGTAAATTAACAGCGAAACATCAACGGCAGTCATGTTTTTGCTGCTTTATCCACATAATCTTATATTTCCAAATCAGGTTGCTGAACAGAAAAACAACAAAGCATTTCACAACAAAGACAAATCACTCTGTCCCTGCTGCTGAAGTGAGCTAAATGATGCACCCCAGAGTTCAGGTGTGGCTCCTGGCTGACCTCTGACCTCGCTGGCCAAACTGACACCTGTATGTCTTTTCAGAGGGAGATGTAAACGAACAGATTTCTCACTGAGTCATCTGAAGCAGAAGATACATTTCTCTTCATTCTACACAAATCAGATTGAACAGGAAATCTATAAAAACAAGGGCAGCAAATTTTTATGCACATGCACAAGGGCAGCAAATTTTATGTTACTGTTGTTTTTTTCCTGCAACATCTAACAGTTACATCTGTTAGCCAGTAGATGGCGACCATGTGCTTCAAACAATATCAAAGTTCTTGCCGTGAGAGAGTAGAGCATCTGAATGAAATTACAGCCAGCTTGAGTAACTTCCTGTGGGTGTGAGTCAGAGCCACGCAAGACTGAGCAGTCCAGCATCAGAGTCCACAGAAAATAGTTTGATACTGGAAATATAATTATCTGTCTGGGTCGTGTGTGTGTGTGTGTGTGCGTTAGGCTTACTGGATTAGTATCACTGATGAATCGAAATGTAAGCAGCCTTTTAATGATGTTCCATAAGCTGATCATATACATCCAAAAATGTTAGAGGTAAATACAACTGTCAAGTAAAGTAAAATGGTTTTATCAACATTTCTCTCCGACATGTGAAGTAGTATAAAATGACCAAACTGAGTAAATGCACTTAGTTACTTTGTCATTTACGCCCACCAAGCAGTCCCATTCATCATCATTTGTCAGTCAATATGGTTGAAAAACCTGTGAAGAGATTTCAGTGAAATGTGGTGGAACATTCAGCCATGAGCCAAGGAACAAAGTACAAGCTTTGGAGCAGATCCAGAAACTTTTAGAGGGATCTTTTAATATTGTGAAACAGGACTTTTTTGCTGTTTTCTCATGAACCATTGCTCTCACTTGAATGGGAATCTTCCACATGTATCTAATAATCATTTCTCACTTCTGAAGGATAAATGTTTTCTGTTATTAAAAAGGCTAAAAGGGGGTGGGGGGTCTTTGTTGTTTTACTTTTAGGAAAAAGTCCAAACCTATTATTCTGTACAGGTGCATTTCTTCTGAGGGGCCCGAGGTCAGGATCAAGCACAGTGCAATGTCCATGGTGCTGTTGAGAAGATTTGGTGCCTTGCTTAAAAAAAGAGAAGCACTGACAGCTAACTAATCATAGCTCAAGGATTATTGCAAGGCATAGGTTATAATTTTAAGATTCAAAGAGGAGGTTTTTTTTTCAAATGTATTGTGTTACGTTGAATAATGGTTAAGGTTGGGTTTCAGGGTCTGTTTTTTAGATTTAGAGTGCAGGGTTAATGGGTTTTGGGTAATGATTAAAGGTCTCTAGTTTGGAGTTAGGGTTAGGCTTGAGGTGTCGGTTTCTGTGTTTATTTCTAGGGTTTTTGGTTTAAAATGTGTTGGGTCTAGAGTTAGGGTTAAGATTTAATTAAAGGTTTAGGATTCTGGTTTATTCAGAGGGCACAGGATTTAGACTTTAGGTTATGGTTAGGGTCACGACTTTAACTTGAGGTTTAAGAAAAACTTGAGATTTGGTTTGTATTCAGTTTAAAGTTCAATATCTTTGGTGAACTGCAACTTCTTCATGTTCCAGCCCACTAACATGGCTGCTCTTGAGATGTTGAGTATCTATCCTTGCTAACGAAGCTCGTACTTACATTTTGTGATGTACCTGGGAATGTTACACACGCTTCACTGCTAAGGCAACAAGTTATCATGTAGGGTAGCAAATTTAGCTCTTGTTGTTTTGATACTTATCATGGCTGACTCACAGGCCACAGCAAATAATATAAGAGAAGCATAAGAACTGTTAACTACTAAAAAGAAAAGATGAGATGGTGTCATTAGTAAAGTCAGTTTATGTGTGGGGAATGGGAACATTTGAGAGAAACATGATGAAGAAACCAAACCACAGCACATGGAGAGATCCTTGTTGGCTGAGATGGAAGCTCTTATACGGTCTGAGCAGCACTAGGCCCAGGTACTCACAGCTACACTAATGTGACAGCTCCACCCACACAAACCGCAAGATAAGGACAATGAGCAGCGGCATTCAAAGAGGCCACATGGCTGTAAAACAGACCTCATTTCTACCTGCTAGTAACAAGTGATCTATATCTGTACGTGTTATCTAGATCAGAATAAACACATTTTGTAAACTCTGCCTCTTCCTGCTGTCAAAACACTACCGATGAGCACTTCCTCTGTACAGTTCAAATAAGTACAGCTCAAACGGCAGCATTGCTTCCCTTGACCAAAGACGCGTGATGTGAAATTTGCATATTTGAGATCCAGTCACAGTTCAGGCAGGATGAGAACTCATATTGATACCAGGTGTAAATGTAAAAACCCCAAGATCAGATGAGGTCGGGCTAGCTGTTTCCCTCCTGTTTCCAGTCTAAGCTAAACAGCTGCTGGCTTTAGCTGCCTGTTTATTGCAAACACGAATATAGTATCAATCAGAGCCAAGAAGGTTGAGGACCACATCTAGATTATGTCATGTCATCACATGGTTCAAATGTGTTTATTTGGAGGACACAGACTCTCTCTCTCTCAAGGAGAAGTCAGGATAGTTATCTCACTCTTGTGTGATTGATTATTTGTTTTGGTGTGACACACAACTGGACAACAACAAAACCGAGAATACGTAATCATGACAGACATCTTCCTTTTAACCCAACATATCCACCACCTCACACACTATCCCACACTACAGCAGACATATGCACCCATATATGGCTGTCACTTCACACGCAGTCGAGCTTCATAAACACACACAGGCATTTTTCTTTAACCTTAACCATTCATTGAGAGTATTTAGACCTCACAAGTGCCGTTACAGTTGGTACACACACATACACTCAATGAAAGTACTCCACAGATTGATGAGTAATGGGTCAGACAAAGTTTGTCTTTCTGTATACGTTTTGTGGTTTGTGATAATTGCAGTCGTGTGTTGCAGTCAGCTGCGGTCAGACTGAAGTGAAGGAGGCTGTTAATGATTAAAAGCCAAACTTTTCTGTTGCCAGTTTTTTATCTTTGGGATTCAGAGGCAATAACGGAAAAACCTGTTGGCTTGTTAAATTGAAGTAAAGTCAGATTTTTACTGATCCGTGGAACATTACATTGATACCAGAGCAAAGTTCCTTGTGTGTTGTTGTGATTACTGGCAGTACCAGAAGTTATCTGGTGTATCTGCATCAAAACA